GTCAAAAGCAAATTAAAAACGGTTTAAAATTAAGCTGCAAACAAACGTTGGAAGTGAATCACACAAACAGACGTTGGAAGTGAATCACACAAACAGACCTTGGAAGTGAATCACACAAACAGACGTTGGAAGTGAATCACACAAACAGACCTTGGAAGTGAATCACACAAACAGACGTTGGAAGTGAATCACACAAACAGACCTTGGAAGTGAATCACACAAATTGCATTGTAAATTGCTTCAATAACTATAATATGAATTGCTTGTTAAAATATTAACAAATAATATTGCGTCTACAAATGATAAAATAATACATAAATGGATCAAATTATTGTAAAACAGCCTAACTAGAAGTCAATATAGTGAGTATTTGAATAAGATTTTGACATGGAGACCTGAAGTGATAGTTCATCAGACATGTGGTTATACATGTGGTTCAGGTATCATACAGTACATCATATCTCAGGCCAAAAAGTATTGTACAGAAGTAAGAATTTTAAAGCATGATTATCATACAGCAATTAGTCTCATACACCACTTCAGTCATAAAGCCTGGTTGTAATGTATCATATACCAGCTCACTCATAGAGTTAGGTGTATCATACACTAGCTCACTCATAAAGCCAGGTTGTATCATACACCAGCTCACTCATAAAGTTAGGTTGAACCATACACCAGCTCACTCATAGAGTTAGGTTGTAGCATACACCAGCTCACTCGTAAAGCTAGGTTGTATCATACACCAGCTCACTCATAAAGAAAGGTTGAACCATACACCAGCTCACACATAAAAATAGGTTGAACCATACACCAGCTCACTCATAAAGTTAGGTTGAACCATACACCAGCTCACTCATAGAGTTAGGTGTAGCATATACCAGTTCACTCATAAAGCTAGGTGTATCATACACCAGCTCACTCATAAAGCCTGGTTGTAATGTATCATACACCAGCTCACCCATAGAGTTAGGTGTATCATACACCAGCTCACTCATAAAGCTAGGTTGTAATTTATCATACACCAGCTCACTCATAGAGTTAGGCGTATCATACACCCACTCACTCATAGAGTTAGGTGTATCATGCACCCACTCACTCATAGAGTTAGGTGTATCATACACCAGCTCACTCATCAAGCTAGGTTGTAATGTATCATACACCAGCTCCCTCATAAAGCTAGGTTGTAATGGATCATACACCAGCTCACTCATAGAGTTAGGTGTATCATACACCAGCTCACTCATCAAGCTAGGTTGTAATGTATCATACACCAGCTCAATCATAGAGTTAGGTGTATCATACACCAGCTCCCTCATAAAGCTAGGTTGTAATGGATCATACACCAGCTCACTCATAGAGTTAGGTGTAGCATATACCAGTTCACTCATAAAGCTAGGTGTACCATACACCAGCTCACTCATAAAGCCTGGTTGTAATGTATCACACACCAGCTCACCCATAGAGTTAGGTGTATCATACACCAGCTCACTCATAAAGCCTGGTTGTAATGTATCACACACCAGCTCACCCATAGAGTTAGGTGTATCATAAACCAGCTCACTCATAAAGCTAGGTTGTAATGTATCATAAACCAGCTCACTCATAGAGTTAGGTGTATCATACACCCACTCACTCATAGAGTTAGGTGTATCATGCACCCACTCACTCATAGAGTTAGGTGTATCATACCCCAGCTCACTCATAAAGCTAGGTTGTAATGTATCATAAACCAGCTCACTCATAGAGTTAGGTGTATCATACACCCCCTCACTCATAAAGCTAGGTTGTAATGTATCATACACCAGCTCCCTCATAAAGCTAGGTTGTAATGGATCATACACCAGCTCACTCATAGAGTTAGGTGTATCATACCCCCACTCACTTATAAAGCTAGGTTGTAATGTATCATACACCAGCTCCCTCATAAAGCTAGGTTGTAATGGATCATACACCAGCTCACTCATAGAGTTAGGTGTAGCATATACCAGTTCACTCATAAAGCTAGGTGTATCATACTCCAGCTCACTCATAAAGCCTGGTTGTAATGTATCACACACCAGCTCACCCATAGAGTTAGGTGTATCATACACCAGCTCACCCATAAAGCTAGGTTGTAATGTATCATACACCAGCTCAATCATAGAGTTAGGTGTATCATACACCAGCTCCCTCATAAAGCTAGGTTGTAATGGATCATACACCAGCTCACTCATAGAGTTAGGTGTATCCTACACCCACTCACTTATAAAGCTAGGTTGTAATGGATCATACACCAGCTCACTCATAGAGTTAGGTGTATCATACACCCACTCACTCATAAAGCTAGGTTGTATTATACACTGGTTGCCCCATAAGACAGAATGTATGACACACTTGATGTAGTTAGGTATCAGGAAACATGTTATATTATGCCTGTTCTAGGTATAAATGGCCTGTATACATCCAGTTTCCTGTCCCAAGATGAAATGAGATACATCCTGACATTTATCAGACTGCATATAATATCTTGTAATTATACAGTTTATGTCCAAGTCTGTGTTGTACAATTAAGAGGTCAAAGGAGCATGACTGCTTGACAAAAAGTTATCAAACATGCATGCATATTGATGAAAACAGATAACTCAGACAATAAATAAAATAATATTTCATTTGAACAGTTGATTGATTATGCTTCTTTAAATGAATATCAATCAAGTCTCGTTTTATACTGGAATATAGTCTATAGTATCAAGTATTCAATGCATGCATGGTATAGTGGCAAGTTAGTCTAACATAGGTTTCATCCCCTTGTTCTGAAGACTTTAAGGTAGGCCAAGCATTACTCATCACCAGACAACATTTGTATGACATTATCTGGCATTGATAACAGATCAGTTAACTCATGACAATCTGTAAAATACAGCCTAAAAACAAACAATTGCAATTTCCCAGTGTGTGTCAACAAATTTCATATCTTAAAATAATAATCGTAAAATATTTTATCATTGTAAAAAAAGTGTTAAATTATAAAAAGGAGTGTTCTCCCCTTCCCAATCTAAGATCAGTGTCAATTATCTCCCCTTCCCAATCTAAGACCAGTGTAAGTTATCTCCCCTTCCCAATCTAATCTGTGATCTGTGTCTTCAGGTACATTTATCTACCTAGTACCTGTACCATTCGGCAATATATCAGTTTTATATACAGCTTCAGAAAGTAGTAAATGGCAAGAATTCTCTTCATGTTGTAAGCAGTTTTTGCTGAATCAATCATATAGCTTGATGTGTATGTCAGCTGAATCAACCCTATAGCCTGATGTGTATGTCAGCTGAATCAACCCTATAGCCTGATGTGTATGTCAGCTGAATCAACCCTATAGCCTGATGTGTATGTCAGCTGAATCAACCCTATAGCCTGATGTGTATGTCAGCTGAATCAACCCTATAGCCTGATGTGTATGTCAGCTGAATCAACCCTATAGCCTGATGTGTATGTCAGCTGAATCAACCCTATAGCCTGATGTGTATGTCAGCTGAATCAACCCTATAGCCTGATGTGTGTGTCAGCTGAATCAACCCTATAGCTTGATGTGTATGTCAGCTGAATCAACCCTATAGCCCGATGTGTATGTCAGCTGAATCAACCCTATAGCCTGATGTGTGTGTCAGCTGAATCAACCATATAGCCTGATGTGTATGTCAGCTGAATCAACCCTATAGCCTGATGTGTGTTGACAGCTGAATCAACCCTATAGCCTGATGTGTGTTGACAGCTGAATCAACCCTATAGCCTGATGTGTGTTGACAGCTGAATCAACCCTATAGCCTGATGTGTGTTGTCAGCTTAAGCAACCCTATAGCCTGATGTGTGTTGTCAGCTGAATCATCCCTATAGCCTGATGTGTGTTGTCAGCTGAATCATCCCTATAGCCTGATGTGTGTTGTCAGCTGAATCATCCCTATAGCCTGATGTGTGTTGTCAGCTGAATCAACCCTATAGTCTGATGTGTGTTGTCAGCTGAATCAACCCTATAACCTGATGTGTGTTGTCAGCTGAATCAACCCTATAACCTGATGTGTGTTGTCAGCTGAATCAACCCTATAACCTGATGTGTGTTGTCAGCTGAATCAACCCTATAGTCTGATGTGTGTTGTCAGCTGAATCAGCCCTATAGCCTGATGTGTATGTCAGCTGAATCATCCCTATAGCCTGATGTGTGTTGTCAGCTGAATCAACCCTATAACCTGATGTGTGTTGTCAGCTGAATCAACCCTATAGTCTGATGTGTGTTGTTAGCTGAATCAACCCTATAGCCTGATGTGTGTGTCAGCTTAATCAACCATATAGCCTGATGTGTATGTCAGCTGAATCAACCCTATAGCCTGATGTGTGTTGTCAGCTGAATCAACCCTATCTGGATAATAGATCAAAATCAACATTCAAACATCCATCTTTGTAATTTCAGTATTAAATTTTGAAACACATATGCAACAACAGTTTTAAGCTAACATATCTACATGACAGTAAATCTCCTTGTTGGCAGAGCTTAGCCCTCTTGTCCTGCCATCGAGACATTGCCTATAAAATTTGCTCCGTTTACACAGGGGCAGACAACCTTGAAAACAGGCCAAAGCAAGTGAATCCCTTATTTCACAGAGTAAGGTCCACTGGTATAAGTTATAAAGGAAATACTGACAGGTAAACAACCTTTACTTTTCCTGTAGATGCTGAGTGTCTACCCAATACAGACAATACATGATGTGTACAATCTCAGCACATGAGGTGACACATTCCATCCAAGCCTAGAATGAAACACTGCATATGATATAGCTGATTTTGTACATCACACGAATAACAGAAACAATGACGTCAGCGTGGTTGATTTGTTCGTACTCAGTCTAGATAAACACAGAATCCTTAGAATCCAATAGCTGGAAAAACTGTAAGGTCCAATCCTGAAGCTTCTTACACCTTTCACTTGTGTTTGAAGATTTTTTCACATCATCCTGGATTGGCTAGATCCAGTTATGATGTCACACACATTTCAATCAGCTCCAACAGCAAATTTAATTGTTTCTGCACTGAGGCTCAAATCTGCAGAGTCTAAATCTTTGTTTGAGTAGAATTCAGCCCAAACTGGACAGTGGTCACTGATAAGACCTCCCCAAGACCAGCCGTTTGGGATCCAGGGACTGCTGAGCCCTTCTCTGACCACGGCTGAGTACCCTGTTAACATATTAAACAGAGAAGGTTAACAATCAATCATTCAACTTCATTCAATGTGAAAATAAACCAGTCTTGTTGGATAAGGGAAAATAAGAGGTACATCTGTAGTCACATGTTGATCCGTCCTAAAATGATATTTAGGATGGATAATAATTCTGGTGACACTGATTTGATCTGTCAATACACTTTTGAAACCATAGTCTACACTTTCGTCTCCATCCAGTAAGTTTCCATCTTTGGGTGGTTAAAAAAGAAAATAATCTAGCTGTATGAAATCTAATGCACAGAACTCTCAGACTCAATTTAATTTTATAGCAGAATAATGAAATACAAAATTGAGGGGTAAAAACTGTCTTAGATTCTAATATTTAAAATCACACAGAGTTACTTCCCTTCCATTTACTACAACACATACTAATAAGCATAGAAAACACCTGAAAATAGATAATTTTACAAGTGACACCTTACACTGAGGCTGGGAACAATACATAATGTGGTATATTTATATATACCAAGGAACAAGACATAATGTGGTATGTTTATTTATACCAAGGAACAATACATAATGTGGTATATTTATTTATACCAAGGAACAATACATAATGTGGTATATTTATATATACCAAGGATGAATACATAATGTGGTATATTTATATATACCAAGGAACAATACATAATGTGGTATATTTATATCTCCATACCATTTTCGTTGTTATTTGAATTCAACCTCACAAACAATGTTAACATAGGGTCCTTTACAGCTGTTTACCTGTGAATATTTCTTTGGACTGGTCTGAGATCCAGATGTGGTCGTAGGTCTGTGAACCCTTCAGGTTATTATTGCTGATATTGGTGAAGTGACCGGCGGGGATGCAGTTAGAGTAGTGTCTGTCACGCAGACAGTCAAAGTCTGGAGGAATGAGAGACAAAGTTAAAGTGTCTGTCACGCAGACAGTCAAAGTCTGGAGGAATGAGAGACAAAGTTAAAATATATAAACAAGGTCACAACCTTTTAACCTTTACTTTAGCCTTTAAGTGTAGTATTACGACAAACCTAACATGAACCATATATGGTATACCACATAGTACAGTTGATTACATAGCATAGGCCCCGCAAAAGGTCTACATATACATTTCCCTTAATTTATCACACAACCCCTTCATAACGCCAAAATTCCTCTGGACAAATGGTGGCAGTATATCATTGTTTTACTGTATACTTGACAAAGGGCAGATTACTCTGAAAATATGACAAATTTTATCATCTCCATTGTTGTTATAACTTCTCTGCTAATAAATTAATATCATCAAACAAACATCTGTTTGTTATGATCCAGCGCAGTTAAAGATCCTATTGTCATTAATTATGAGACCTCTATACAGTCGGTAGTGTGGCAGCAACAAGGTAACAGGTTCAATCTGGTGTGCATGTCCTGTCAGTGTACCAATGACAATAATACATTTACATGGTAGCCCTGTACAGTGACATGGTTATACGACTGATTACAGCAGAACTTACCTTCCTTCTTGGGGGCCAGGTACATGATCGCCCTGTACAGTGACCTGTTTCTACGACTGATTACAGCAGAACTTACCTTCCTTCTGGTGGGACAGGTACATGGTAGACCTGTACAGTGACATGGTTATACGACTGATTAGAGCAGTACTTACCTTTCTTCTGGGGGGACAGGCACATGGTAACCCTGTACAGTGTCATGTATTGTTTATAGGACTGATTACAGCAGAACTTACCTTCCTTCTTGGGGGCCAGGAACATGGTAGCCCTGTAGAGTGACATGTTTATAAGACTGATTACAGCAGTCCTTACCTTCCTTATATTGTTTTTACTACTGATTACAGCCGTACTTCCCTTCCTTATGGGGGGCCAGGTACATGATCGCCCTGTACAGTGACAGGTTTATACGACTGATTCCAGCAGTACTTACCTCCCTTATGGGGGGCCAGGTACATGATCGCCCTGTACAGTGACACGTTTATACGATTGATTACAGCAGTACGTCCCTTCCTTATGGGGGGCCAGGTACAGGGTAGCCCTGTACAGAGACATGTTTATACGATTGATTACAGCAGTACGTCCCTTCCTTATGGGGGACAGGTACATGGTAGACCTGTACAGTGACATTTTTATACGACTGATTCCAGCAGTACTTACCTTCCTTATGGGGAGCCAGGTACATGGTAACCCTGTACAGTGTCATGTTTATACGACTCATTACAGCAGTACTTTCCTTCCTTATGGGGGACAGGTACATGGTAACCCTGTACAGTGACATGTATTGTTTATACTACTGATTACAGCAGTACTTACCTTCCTTATGGGGGGACAGGTACATGGTTACCCTGTACAGTGACATGTTTATACGACTGATTACAGCAGTACTTACCTTCCTT